CAAGTCCACAGACAGGGAGAGGCAGCGAATCACCGAGTTTTATGATACCAATACTGTCGCATATTTGTTTCCTTGTATTATTTTTAAGTTTATTTTTTGTTGGTTTGACTTGGATACCATTTGCACAAGCTCTAAAGAGATTCACCTCGCACCTGTGAATTTTGTCGCCATTTATTTTTATTTTTTGAGAATATAAGAAATCAGAAGTTCATTACTCCAAACTATTAAGTTCTATAATCCATTTAACAAATTTCATAAAAGAAAAGTACAATGCGTGACATTTATACAGCGGCCATATAACTCGTTTACAGTTATATGGCCCAAGGTGGGTAACTCTCAGAAATAAGTAATTGTAAAGTAATTGCATTACTTTTAAAAAGTAATTTGTAATTGCAATGAACTACTTTCGCGTAGTAGTAATTGTAATTGTAGTTAAACTACTTTGGGGGCTAAGTAATTGTAATAGTAATTAAATTACATTTTGAAAGTAATTTACCCATGTATGGTTATCGGGCCCCGTTCCCATGGCCTTCTCAATCGCTTCTCATGCTCTTGAGTCACACAACGACCTAGGTCTTATGATACAACACTCCTGGCGCGATCGAGGAGCTTTTGTCAGTGCTTTGATGACATTTTACCCCGCAAGGTTTATTTATGTGTTTGCTCGGCACGCGCTAACAACACTCGATACGTTAATGCCTTTACCCTGACACAGACAGACATCGAGGCACTCTAATGACGGCAGGATTGCAGTGCCACTCCCAAGCCCTCTGTTGCCTAGTTGGTAGCATGTCTGGCTCGCAACCAAAGAGTCGTGGGTGCGATCCTGCGTAAATTCTTCAAAATTTTCTTTAAGGCAAATGAATTAGTTTATCAAGTGGGAAGATTTGAAACATGCGGCGACCATTAATTCGTATGTCTTTAACCACCTTCATTCCACGCGTGACGTCACGTTTCACAAGAGCGTTGTGGGTTGTTTGAAATTCCCGCGCGAAGTCATGTGGCTGTGACGTCACGACCCTATCGACATTCAGGAATTTCCCGTCACGCCACCGACACCACCAACATCCGACTGATTTTCTGTGACACGAGCTCCTAAACGCGCTCGCGTTACAATATTCTCTTTCTTCCTAAAAACGAAAGAAAAAACGTGAAAGCTTGAAGACTTTCGCGCGTCGTTGCGTTGCGAAGGTTAGGTGCGTGTGCACTCGACTCTTCGTTTCTCCATACGGCCGACGTCTTCACGGCCCGCCGATGGCTTCGATGCCAGTGCTGGCGCTAAAGGGCAAGCCACGTCAACCAGCGAGTTTGAGCGGGACGTCGTAAACAGTGGAAGCTGTGTCCTCGGTGAGCCAATTGGAGCGTGAGAGTAAGGCACCTGAGGACTCAACTCCGATGTGGACATCTGTGCAGCGCCGTCACGTGCCTCGCTCCAGTGACCTTATTGGCTCCCCGGGCCCTTCTGTTTTGCCCTTTGCTAATTTCTACCGAGTTGGAGGCTCCTCCGGTGGCTTTTTCTCGCCGACTGTACAGTACACCAAACTTGCTCCGACAAGAAGTCGGGACTGTTTCAAGCACATGCCGCTGCTGAAAAGGGTGTTCTTAAAATTCAACACAGGGCGTCCAAGCAGTGCGGCGGCAGAGCGCGTTTTTAGCATAGGAGGAACAATTGCTACCAAACTGCGATCGAAGATGTCGGATGAACATTTCGAAGAAGTCCTGATTCAGAGATCAAATCGAGCACTAAAGTGAAAAAGACAAAGTCTTCGAATGCTCTGGTGAGAGCGTTTTGCCTTATTTCTCCCATTGACACCAATAAAGCACGGTTATCAAACTTGTTTTTGTGTACATCCCTGTATACAAAGGATTTAATTCCAATAATAATGTGACAAATTTGAGAAAAATACTTGACGTGAAAATAAAAAGTACCTTTGAAGTAACTGTACGTATACCTAGGTACATTTTTAAGCGAGTAGCTAGATACGCACCTAGGTACATTTCCGTATGAGTAACTGTAACTGTATCTTAGGTACATTTTTGAAGTAACTTTTACAACCCTGCTGCCAACAACCCATGACGGGCACTCATGCACTCGGCGTTCACGCTACCCGAGCTACAAACACGCTACAGTCAAGCTACGCAGCACGCCTTCATCAGAAGAGGTAATCACCTTACTGAGAGCCCGTTGTTCCGTGGTACCGGCCACTTACACCAGTACAAAGGGAACAGTACCTGGATCGTGCGAACAGCAGATCTCATTGGACAGCCTATTTACAAAGCTATGTCCGTAACGTCTGGGCATGTACCAGACGTTACCGCTTCACCGCTCGGAGGTGACCACCCAACAGGAGCGACGAGCGCGTAACGGCGGTCCGCACCGAACCCCGGGCTCGATAACCGCGACAAGCGCATCGACGCACGTTAGAGTTCTCCCTCGGCCAAACCACGACACCGCATAACTAAAAAGTCTTCCAGCTGATGTCAAGGCCGGCCGGGATCGAGCAATAAAGGTACGCCGTCAACGCGTCTCGCGACCCTTCGACGTTCTCGAATCGAGCAACGTGTCCACATACAAACGCAGTAGGTTACGCACAAAGCTCGCCCCCAGCCAAGTCAACACGCCGCATGACTGAAAAGTCTTCTTGCGACTGTAAGGACAGGCAGGGTTCGAACAATGTAAGTATCCCACACGCGCACCTCTCAACTTCCGCGCAACGAGCGCGATACCAAAATGCCAAATAATCTAACCGGCCGGTCTTGGAAATGGACGAGCTAATAAACTATATTTGCTCTGCATAAACAGTTTTCGCAGCGTCGAAGTGTCTACAGCATTTACCGCCGCATTCCAACACCCACTACCCATTCATGCAAAGGCTGCAGTTAGTACAGCGACGGGCTGACCCAACGCACAACAGTTATAGGCCGCCGACGGCCATGCCGCTGCCATAATTTCTAGGCTTCCCGGGCACGTACCCGCCGACGTGAACCGTACGTTTTCCCGGGCCAACCGCGCATCTGTACAGGATAAAACTATGAACAACTCGTCACATCATCGCAAGACCGCCACTCCCCTCGTGCAGGTCTTCACTGCACGAGCACAGCTCTTTTCCCACCAGCTGTCTTTTCTCCCCTAAATCTATAATTTCACTCCAGCCCAGGTCTTTGCACGACCAATTACGCTCTCTACGCCCTCGCGTCCCAACGCGAACAAAAGCACGGCTGAGAACCGTATCCGGCGGCAGCGCAAAGCGCGCGCTGGCCGCCGCTCCTCCGGAAACGGAGAAAACGAAATAAATAGTAACTCCCGCCTCGAGGCTCAACCATCGATATGGCGGTGTGAGGATCCGGAACCAACTGTGCGCACAATCAAACGGGATCAACCTCACGACTCTACAACCAGAAACGCACGGGTCATGCCCATCGCGTCAGACTGGACTCCACGGAGCATTACACGAAGCCACTGAGAAGTGAACACGGAAACTTTGTGGTTTTCTGCATTCCAATGTCTGCGCACCAGACATCGCGTATCCGGCACAATTTAGTGGGCCCAGCCCCTAAATGTAGCCTCTGGCCACAAGGTACTCGTTCAAAGCGATCTTGGTCGGAACCACAAGAGCGCATCCGTACCTTAAAACGCTGTAAACTAACGACGCCCAAAACCGCGCCGACAGCTCAAGCAAGGCCAACTGGGAGCTAGCATGCGATCAAACCGAAACGCTAGGCTTCTCCCGGACAAAATGCAATGCGGGAATAATTTCCAAACACAGTCCATGCAACCGCCATCCGCAATGGGAGCGTTCTCCACCCAAAGCGATGCCTCTTTAACGCGTCCGATCCGTAACAAGCGTTACAAACCATTACATCGATACGCGAACAAAGGCGGTTAGGCGCGTCACATCCCCCGAAGCGTGAGCCGGCATCTTTCCCAGCGGACGCGGGCGGCCGGAGGCGTAGGTGGGGGGACGCCCGACGCTACAGGCCTCGAGGGGTGCGGCAATTTCGACGCACACAGCGCTCTTGCGCCGCAGGATCAACCTGTCAGCATCCAACGGTGCGCTGAACAGCAAATACTCATGGCGCTTCTCGTAACGGGGGATAAGTGAATTCCTAACTGGCTGGGACAAAGGGTTAATCCCTAAAGACAACGGTCAAGGTCCGCGCCCCCTCGTCAGGCAGGCGATCATGTCAGGACTTGCATGCGGCGCTAACGCAACGAAACTTCGTGCGGCGCTCCCGCGACAGATGACCCCCAAAAAGAGCGCGAAACAGTGCCCTAATTCAACCGGAAACAGGTTAGGAATCGGAATGCCAGCCTGATCTAAAATCAGGCCCCACGTTGCGGCGCCAGTTTATGCGGGCATCTTCCAGCTCCGATTCCCACAGACCCTGTCCCCGGATGAATATGACACTTCAATACTGCGCTCTCGGCAAAAGGGTTTATTCACTCACTCATTGCCTTGGGGGGGTTTCGGGATCGGGGGACGGTCATCAGCGAGGCCGGGGGAGAGTCCGCTGCCCGAGCAGCTTCTCAGAGTCCCAGCGGTGGTCGTCCACACCGCGTCATGGGGACGTCGTCGTCCAGGGTCGCCGTCCGGTCCGTTTGTCGAGTCCGCCACTCGACGTAGTGCCCGCACTCCCCCGCGCCAGCGTCCAGCGCCGTCCGAGCTCGCCTCCATGACCGGTCCCCTGTCTAGTCGGCAGCCCAAGCCCTCTTCCTTTGTCTCCGTTCCCCTCTTAAGACCTTCCCAAGTCCTTGTCCCGCCGACCGTCCAATCGGGAACCTTGCTGCGAGCCGACCCTCCGACGTCAGCGCTGGGTGAGGGGGCGCTTGCCCCGTTCCTCCCGGAGAGCTCGGACGTTCCGCGACAGGACGGCGACTGGAAACGGGAAGGTCACAGGGAACGAAGGAGCGCCCGACAATACGGCGGCGGGGACCGGCAAGGTCACGGAGAGCGGAGGAGCCAGGGAGAGGGTCCCCACACATGCAATCAAAAACTTGCGGCATATTTCGAGCAGCTCGACTTTGTCCTTCTCACAAAGCGAGAACTTTTCAAGGGCGTTAAGATAAACACTTCCCATTCTACATTCCCGCACGTGAAGCACGTACTTTTCCCAGTCCGTGCACTCTGGTGATGCGTGAGTGGGCATGATCACTCTGTTCTTAAGCGATATCACAAACGACAACAAATCCTTGTGCATCATTGTAGAATCTGTATTCTCACACTGAAATTTCTTGTTTAAGTGATTGAACTCATTGACAATGGGGCTTAGGAACCTTGCAAGCAGCAAGTTTTGCTCATCGCGGTAAATCTCACTAAGTACTTTCGCAGAATAGCATCTTTCTTGACACTTGGCTAATTCGAAATGTGTTTTCAATTCCAGCCACTGATCAACAATTAACTTTAATGCATCAGCAATCCAAAACCAACGCGTGGCTGACAGTCCTACAAGCTTCCTGGGGGCGTCCCCAGAATTGATAGCCGCATAGATGGCCCTGTACACCTGTTGCCGCTTTGGGGAGTGCGAGAACCAATTAAACGCCTCTCGAACGAGATAATCCATATGTGTCGGCAGCACATCTACCACCTCATTGCATGCAAGATCCAGAGAGTGACACAAACATTTTGCAAGGACGAGGCGAGGGTTGACTTCCTGCATCTCAGTAAAAAGACTGTTATGCTTTCCGCACATCACACTCGCTCCATCCGTCCCGTCAGCAACACAGTCAGCTAGATCTAAACCAAGGTCATCTAGAAAGCTCCTTAAGTGCGAAAAGAGACCACTCGACGAAGCGTCAAAGATAGGCATGAGACCTAAGAATGCTGTGCAAAACATGCAAGATTTACGCGAAAAGTGCCACAACAGCCATATATTTCGTTTATGACAGATCAGTACTTTCACCGAGAATCAACGAAAACTGCGCATTCTTTAAATACGCAAGAAGGAATACCTTAAAAGTTGGCCCGAGTACTCGCGTTACAAATGCGGTGCACTTTGTTCAGCCAAGGGTCATCGATGATGCAATCGCCGAATCCTTGAAACAATCTCTCACCAGAGGCGCCAAATGATCCGCCGCGGAGGAGGGCCCGTGGACGGCGACGTGAGCATTCGGCGGCCTTGATTTCCTTGGCGTAGATGATGAAGGGGTCGGTGTCTCTTGGCCGGGCCGTCACGAGGCTATCCATCCGTCCAGCAGCCGGTTGGGCGAGCAGTACGATGTTATTCTGGTGCTTCAGGCTTTATTTATGTAGCCTCAGGTCCTGAATGTGGGGCCGCAGCTCCGTCTTGCACACTTTGCAGTGGGCCATTTCGCCAGTCGGGGATAGAAAAAGCCAATCTGAAAATAAAAGAATGACAAACTAAGGACTACATTCAAGCGCATGGTATAGTAGGTTTGTACTTTGTAAACTTGAGCGAAGAACAGTGCAAAAGTTGGCGAACTTTAAAATAATTGAAAAAAAATATTATTCTTGCAGATACATCAAATAAACTAAACTGCTGATGTTACAAGAAAGCAAAACAAGAAAACGAAAAGTGAGCACAATTCTTACCTTTCAAATCCGGATCTCTTTCCCATTTCTTTCGGTAGGAGCGCGGATATTTTGCCCACTTTCCCATGCTGGTGACCACGGCAGACTCTTGCGGCGAAGACGCAACACCTAAGTGACGAGTGACAGCCGTTGCTGAGCGTTTTTTTACATGCCTTGCAAGTTAGGTCACACTAGGGAAGGACAGGGCCCCGCACCATACTGGTGGTTGACTTCACACGGTCCAGCGTTGCCAGATGGTCCCACCAAAAAATCGCCAGACGACTGGTAGGTACTATAGCCCAAATATAGCCAAAGCCGTAAAACAAATATAGCCAAAGTAGCCCAAACTAAAAACAATGATTTTAAGCCCTTTTTTTTTTACAATTTTACATCGTACGTACAAAACACTTCACATCCTCTTTTTAACCCTCAGATGTGACACATTTTGTGTACATTAACTGCGTTCGAGTTACTTGCACCTCCTGCATTACACCAGAGCAAAAAAAGTGAAGGGCAGTATACTTCCGGTATGGGTATTTACATCCGGCCAAAAGTGCACCGCCCTACACTTTTCTGCACCGGTGCTGAAGTTGTATATAAATCGAACGCAGCTATTATGTCACTTGTAAATTTAAAAAAAAAAATCTTTGTAAGGATGTAAATTTTTACAACACTGACCTTTCCTTCGTAGGTTTTCAGAAACACAAAACAAAGTCGGCTTTATTGTGAAGCACAGAAGATATGATCATACAGTAAAAGAACAGAATACAGAAGCAGAACAGTCAAAACACTGGGAGTTTCAAACCAGAACCCCCAATATCTAAGGTTCTTACCGATAACCCACCCGTCTATTTTTCTTTGTGTAAAATATGAGTGTCCCCCATACCAGTTTAACTATTTCTGATTGTGCTGTTTTTTAGAAGAGGGCATGACGTCAGCCTCGTAGCCTCCACAAGCCATGCACCCTTGACGCCTCGTCTTTCTCATTTTCCTCCTTACTCCCTTCACTTATCAGGCCAACAGGACCACATCACGTGACCGTAGCTAGCCTTCTATTTGATAAGACCTACCGGACGAAGCGCGCGCAAGCCTGCAAGCATTCCTTCCAGAATCAGCCATCCATCTCACACGTGACATGTCACGCGCACCAATGGCCAGAGAGATCTACGGTCACGTTGGCCACAACATCGTTTAAACTTTTTATGACTAGGCTTCACCAATATTGCAACGTGCCCTCTCCTAGTACTTCTAACCTCCTTGTTCACTGCGCTGTGGGAAGACCGCTTGAACTCTGCAAGCATTGCTTCACTACGTGAGAACACCTTTGAAGCCTTTCTGCTTCCTCTCTTTTCTCACGAACAGCCCTAGAAGTTCGAAAATGAACTAGTCGAATCTCAAAGTTCGATGTCGAATCTGAGGTTCGACCAAAGTTCGCCGCATTCTTAGAAATAGCCCAAAAATAGCCACATAGCCAACCACGAAATTTCGACGCCAACTAGAAAAACACGTAGCCCAATTTGGCTATATATAGCCCAATCTGGCAACACTGTGACACACCGCGGGGATGCGCTTACCAAGGCGTAGGATGCCGCTAACGGCCCGGACATGCGCTAACATGCACCATATTTTCAACAAAGGTACTATGAACATAAAAAAAAACGTGCTGAGCTTACGATGATGACGTTCATTCAGTACGTGCGGAATTTTTCGGCATTGGTGCGATTGCGCTACGAGCAGAAAGTTTCGAAATGCCGCCGACGAAGTTTTGACGCGAAGGGCTGCCCTGTCGCCAAAAAAAGAAAAAAGCTTAATTGCGGGCTTCATAATTTGACGAGCGGCACTAGGAGTCGCTTGTAGAAAAATGTTTACGATTTTGCGAAATACGGGTAAACGACGCAATGTTACCATCGTACGCTAAACCCTGATACAAGGATAAATCAAATAACGGACAAGACAACTCTCATTATCTCAGGGTTTACATTATGATGTTTCCTAACCGGCTGATATGCACACTTTCGCTCCTTGCAAAGTTTACCTTCTCGCGGACGGCACAAACCAATGACCCGGCAGCGGCGTCTCGGCGAGCTTGCACGCGGAGGCCACCGCCGACCGATCCGTCTGGCCGGGCTTGCGGCGCGACACTCGCCCGGATACGGCCGGGAGCCTCGAAGGTGCGCTCCAAGCGTGGAAACGGCGTTATGTAACGAAGGTCAAAGGCCATACGCACCACGAACGAGCAAAAGCCGATGCAAAGGCGCGCGCGAACGTAAACAACGGTAGAAAAGTGCCGTCGTTCGCCGCTATGAAATGCGTCCCGCCAACTCGATAATCCGCGGCCGCATCCCTTTCTTGCCGCTCGTACTATCTCTAACTTGACGGCTACTCTGTCTCGCGGGGCATGCCGTCGAAACGATCGGACGATCGTCGGGATACGGGGTAAATGCTACAGCCGAGCGCGGCGCAGTTTACGGTATACCATTGCTCTCGCTGCGAAGGGCCGTCGAGTCAACCACCAGCATGGTACCGGTGTTCCACGTCATCCTGTGACGTAGGTGCAAGGCATGTATAGCATCAACACCTATTTAGCATTGACTGGGCAAGATCCGGGTTAGAACTTCGAAGTTTAGCTTGTTCAGACTATTCATTGTTGTCTTTGTTATGGTTGCTTTAAGAAACTTTCATGTTTTGCGGAAAATCCTCTTTTGTTATATCCGGTACCAACTTGGGTACTGCGCGGTTTATCGGACTCACCATTAGGTGAGTCCGATAAACACGCCATTAGGAAGACGAGGGCAGACCTTCTTTGTACTAACTTGGGAGCATAAGACAAGCCACAATGAATACAAACGCGATGCCTTCTAAGCAGAATCTAGGTCACCGTAGCTAAGTGGAGCTAACAGGATCCGGCGTCACGCCCACGCGAACCCCGAAAGCAGAATCCGGAGAGAGTAAACTGTCGCTTTAAGTCTTTTGTCCGTCTGCAGTCTAAAAAAAAAAAAAAAAAATTCCGCATTAGGATTAGAAGTAGCCCAAAAATAGCCACATAGCCAACCGCCAAATTTCGACGCCAAATGCAATACTAAGTAGCCCAATTTGGCTATTAATAGCCCAACCTGGCAACCCAGGCCCCGCTTATAGCCGGTGACAGGTCAAGAACGAAATGGAAGCTCCTCCCACCCCTTTCCACTTCAGTGGAGCGAATGGTTAAGAGGATGTCACCTCCTCTCCACTGTTCGCTATACTAAAATAGAAAGAGGTGGGAGGAGCTTCTACTTCTTTCCTTACCTGTCACCAACTACAGGTATCTACCCTTGGCTGCCCGTGGCCTCACCTAAAGTTACTCTGGATAACTCTCGAGTACACTACAGCCGGCCCGTGCTCTGTATATTTTTAACAGCATCAAGAAAGGTAAGTACGCAAACGTGTTGTTTTAGTCAAAGATGGGGGATCGGTGGCCGAGTGGTCTAGCGCACACCAGCTCGGAGCACGTGGAGCGAAAGCTCGCGCTGCAGAACCCAGGGATCCTGGGTTGGAGCCCCACCCCTGCCGGTTTCGATCTGGATGAGCATCGTACCGGCGTGCGGTCGTGTATCACTACTGCGTGGTGCACGTACACCCCAGGCTAGCGGCTCTACCGCACTGGCTAAATTTCTCATCTACAGCTAGGAGACTCGTCGCCCCTGTGAGGCAGACCAAGTTCTAAGCTGTATAAACACACACACAACCCAATTTTTTTAGTCAAAGCTCTAATTAACTTTTTTTTGTTTCCTGATGTTTTTTTTTTGTTTTTTTTTTTATTTTCAATGACTTATATTAATATCGAAAAAAGTTTTGATGTCTTATTCACAGACGTCTCAACCAAGGCTTCACAGACAAACAGCGGCGTATTCAGGGAAGAGGCTTATGGGGCTTCGGCCCCATAAGCTAGCCTCTTCCCCGAGATCCAGCCGACCCTATATTATATATGCATTTTGACCCCCATTGCCCCTCTCCGCACCCCAAGCCATGGACATCTCAGCCACCTAAACCCCCCCCCCCCCTTCCCCCCCCTCGGAAAAAATTTCTGGCTACGCCACTGCAAACAGGGGAAGAAGGATATGGATCAAAACATTATTTATTATTTAATTGTCACGTGCCTTGTCTTACTAACTTCGTTTGCTACAGTGTGGCAATATTTGGCTATATAGAGATGTGCATAAATCAATTCGTATTTTATGTTTGGCTAGTTGCATGACGTCTGCTATAGCTTCGCCATTCCGTCAGGATCAGGCGCCGGCT